GGTCCTCAGCTCAGCTCCGTGTTTTTGTACACATTTCCGTATGTTATTACATCTTTACAGGGGCACTAAGGAATACGTATTATTTTCCTTATAAACTATCCGGGAACTTGAAGCTCAGGAAGGTGACACGTCTTGACCACAGTCACGCAGCTGGGCCATGGCAGAGACTGATCAAAACCCAGACTGTGTCCAAAGCTTCCCACAAGCTTCTGCTGAGGAAAAGAAATGGTGACATTCCTTCAGTTCTGACGGTAAAAGTTTCTCCCTTAATATTTTAACAAGTTATCAAATACCATCAACATCAAGACCTGGGCCTACTGATAACATGCAGGATCTTAAGGCTGAAAGATGCATTAGTTCAATATGAAGACAGAAACGACTCCTCTGCTCCTTTGATTCATCATAAACAGACTGTTTTGACCCAGAGCCTCACTCATGGGAAGGTTGAAGCAGACGGTGAGAGCGTGCTGATGTCAACCACATCTCGAAGGTGGCACTGTCACAGGGATGTGGTGAAATATCTTTATAACAAAGATCAGAGAAATCTAGCAAAATACAAATCACCTATAATGTGATAGCCCAGCAACCACTACTGTTGGTCTCCTCTGCTTCACTTGTTTCATTAAGTCAGAATCATGCTTTGGGCTTCGCTCTGACTTTAGCTCTGTGAAAAATTGGGCATTATAGAAGATTTTCCCCAACCATGATATAAATATTCATAGAAAAACAAATTTTAGTGGCTCTAAATCAGGGGTTGACAAACATTGTCTGTCATGGGCCAGGGAGTGAATATTTTAGGCTTTGTGGACCCCTTCGTCTGTCACAACTATTCACTCCTGTGCTATAGCATGAAAACAACGTAGACGATACAGAAATGAACTAGTAGCTGTACTGTGTGCCAATAAAACTTTATTTACAAAGGCAGGTGGCAGAGCAGATTTGGCCCGTGAATGGTGATGTGCTGACCCTGTCTATAGTATTATATATTGTACGATCTGTAGTACACACCATAGTGCATTGGTGCTCCCACCAAGGGGTATTTGAACAGTTTTTAGTGATGGAAATATAGACTCTGAGGTTACCATCTTTGGGTCTAGATACTCACATCCCTGTCAAAGTTGCTATTTCCTTTTTAGTAGCAGGTCACCAAGGGCCAACCACTGAGAACCATTTGGGTCTTGTGGGATAGAAGCATTCATTGGTAATACACCTGAGTGCAACATCCCAGCCGACGGTTGCCTGGAGGCACCACTCACCTTCCCACCCCAAAGGCTGCTACTTTAGAGTCTGTGGCCCTAGAACAGCCAAGCCTGCCTCGGATATGCAAGTGCCGACTCAGTCATCTCTCCCATTGAGGAAGGAGCATCTTGGCCAATTCCAAAATTAAGGGAGAAAAATGCATTTTTTTAATGGCCAGGTATAGGGCTCATCCTGTAATCCCAGCACTTTGGGAGGCCAACATGCTTGAGCCCAGGAGTTCAAGATCTTTCTGGACAACATAATGAGATTTGTTCCTGTGAAAAAAAATTAATTAGCCTGGTGTAGTGGCAAACGTCTGCAATACTTGCTACTCGGGAGGCTGAGGCATGAGGTTTACTTGAGCCAAGGAATTCAATCATAATCTAGCCACTGCACTCTGAAGGTGAAAAACAAATCACTTTTGACAACTCCTTCATATCACCACGAATTCTGTTTCAAGTGAGCTCAGGTATACATGGTTTTTAAAGAGTTACTGGGAGCCATGGCTCATGCTTGTAATTCCAGCACTTTGGGAGGCTGAGACAGGAAGATTACTTGAACCTAGGAGTTCGAGAGCTGCCTGGGAAACATAGCTAGAACTTGTCTCTACAAAAAAAAAAAAAAAAATTAGGCAGCTGTGGTAGTGAGCACCTGTAGTTCCCGCTACTTGGGAGGTTGAGGCAAAGAAGGATTATCTGAACCCAGGAGGTCGAGGCTGTGGTAAGCCATGATTAGGCCACTGCACTTCATCCTGGGCAAGAGTGAGACCCCGACTCATCAAAAAAGAAGAAAGAAGAGTCGAACCCACCAGGAACACAGGTTTTACTCATTGGCCAAGAGTTGTTGCTTGGTCTATTTTGTTTTTATCTTAAAGGCTTAGGTGACAGAAACACATGAAAGGAGGGGACACAAAGAATATTACTCACTGATGTCGGGGGGAGGACTAGACCTCTCACGGCCTAAAGCCAGCATGGACACTGTGGGTGGGCTCCCATGGGAGTGTAGTGATCAAGGTGGCCGTTTTCATACCTCTGAGTGACTGGCATTCCCTTCTCATTTCCAGTATGAGAAGCAGTATCACCCTAGGAGCAGGACAATCAGTCCATCTTTTTAGGACGTGACCCTGTGTTAAAAAGAGAAGGAGTAGCCAGGCATGGTAGCACACACCTGTAGTTCCAACTACTTGGAAGGCTGTGGCCGAAGGATCACTGGAGCCCAGCAGGGCGAGCCTGCGGTGGCCGGGAATGTGCCACTGCACTCTAGTCTGGGTGACAGAGTGAGACTCCAACTCAAAAAAAGAAAAGAGAAGGAATTCTAATGGCAGTGCGGCTGCTGGCTCTGGCCCAGCTTCCTCAGGCTCCAGCCAGCTGGACCTACCCTGCAGAGTGGCTTCGGCTACAAAGACACTGGGTCACCTCAGCCACAGCAGGGCTGCGGCCAGAGCCTCCAGGGGTAGGCACCTCATAGGTCTCGGCATTTCTAGACTGTTGCCTCTGAGTTGCAACTTACTGGCCAGAGCTGTGACAGGCTTCATGACCAACTGTGCGTGAGGTAAGAGGTCAGGTCTGTCACCACCTTTCTTTTATCAGGGAGCAAAATCATCCCCAGAGGCCCCGCCACATACCTCTTCAGCAAGCCCTTGCCACTGGACCTGCCCTGGGCCATGCGCCCACCCAGGAGCTGATGACCAGCCTAGGATAGCCACTGGGCTTCAATCACTCGTGGTCATCCCCAGGCCTAGAAGAGCATCTTCTGTCCCTGAGTGTGTTGCACTGGGGACCAGATGGAGAATCTGTGGATAAAGGGAGAGTGGGCAGTGGCTACTGGGTAGGTGACCCCTCATGGCTGGCCAGCGTGGTAGCATGGATGCTAGTCAGCCTGAGACAGGCAGTGTGGGCTGGATCTCAGCTTCCCCAGTTGGTGGCCGAGTGATATGTGATGCTGGGCGCGTCACTTAACGTCTCTGAGCCTCAGTCTGGTCATCTGTTAAATGGGAGTGCCCATTCCTACCAGCTGAGGATTACGCAGAATTTCTATGAAGTGCATTACTCCCACTTCATGGCCAGCCCTCAACCCCATGCCAGTGAGTTCTGTCACCCACGAGGAGTGACTGGCTCCTGAATCTTCAGGGCTGGGCTTCAGATGGTAAGGCTAGGTTTTCTCCAAGAGAATTTGAATGAAAAACAAAACCCATCAGAAAATGAAAATGCTAAATTTGGAAAATGTCTGTGCCTTTTCTCCCTGTGTAAGGAGAAGTGGGGTGTTTTCTAAATCAAGGTAACAATTGGCTGCTTAGACCTTTCTCTGCTCTGATGATTGGTGGAGGAAATGGCGGGGGGTTGAGAGACACAGTGGAGGGTGGGAGACATTGCAGTGGGTTTGGGGACGTGGCTTACTGTCCCTGTGCTGAGCAGTAGCTGCGTGGTTGCCATGGAAGTGACGAGGAGAGAAGGGGGAGGGTCTTGCTGAAGCATCACCTCTTCTTGCTCTGGGGTTTTAGGGTTAGGGTGATAACCAGACTGTTGTCCCTGGAAGAACAACTAAGTCTGCCTCGGCTGTCCAACTCGGTCATTGATTCCATTGAGGAAGGAGCATCTTGGCCAATTCCACAATCAAGGGTGAAAAATGCAGGGTTTTTTTAAATGGCCAGGCATGAAAGCTTGTTCCTGGAATCCCAGCACTTTGGGAGGCCAAGGTGGGAGGATTGTTTGAGTCCAGGAGTTTGAGACCTTTCTGGACAAAGTAATGAGATTCCATCTCTACCAAAAAATCAATTAAAAAAAAATTAGACTGGTGTGGTGGGGAATGCCTGCAGCTACTTGGGAGACTGAAGCGGCGGCGGAGGGGGGATTGCTTGAGCCTAGGAGCTCGAGGCTGCAATGAGCAACAATTATGCCACTGCATTCCAGTCTGGGTGACAGAGTAGAGACCTTGTCTCAAAAAAGAAAAAGCTGTTTGTGTGTCTCCCCTGCCCCCTACACCCCGTTGAAGCTGCCCTGGTGTTCTCCAGCATTGGGGAGGCCAGTACAGCCTGGGCTCAGCTGGTTAGGGCCATACTGAGCAGCCCCAGGGACTCTGGACTGATGTGAGGTCCCCAGAGGGATCTGGCCTGTTGATGGCCAAACTCTTACACCTGTGCCAGTCTCACAGAGGTCTCTGGCAGGCACCCGAGCTCCACTTTCAGCCTCAGGGTGAGCTGGCAGGGGTGGTGGAGAGCACCGGGCCTTTATGCTGGTCTGGGCTTCACTCCCAGCTCCGCCTGGTGCCTGCCATGCCCGGCGAGTCCTCTGGGCACTGCTCTTGGGTCTGTACGGGGAGACTCACGTTTGTGTGGACTGTGGAGCCTAGCGGGGTTAGTTGGGGACTGGGTGAGACCTGTAGGAAAGCGTTGCACAGGTCTGTGTCACACAATGCGTGCCGGGCCTAGCAAGCATTAGCAATGACCTAGAAACGCTTCGGGTGGTGGTCAGAGCATCCGCAAGGCTCCTAGACACCCTTGACCCGTAGCCTGCTGTCTTCCCAGACTCCTGCCCTCCCCGACTGAGAACCAGGTCCCCTTGCCTGCCCCCACTGGCCGAGCTGGCACACCATGGCCTCCAGCTGACAGGTGGGAAGGGCTCCAGGGCCAGTGGCCTTGGCTTTGTGTGTTCTGGGACTGTCCCCAAGGCCTTCAGTGTGATGTTTACACTTCTTTTTCTACCAGGCTCTCCACAGCCACGGAGATGCCTCTCATGGACACTTGGCTCCTTCCTCTGTTTCAGGGCTCCAAAGTCCTGGCCAAGAAGGAGCTGGCATACGTTCCCATCATTGGCTGGATGTGGTACTTCACCGAGATGGTCTTCTGCACGCGCAAGTGGGAGCAGGATCGCAAGACGGTTGCTACCAGCCTGCAACACCTCCGGGATTATCCCGAGAAATACCTGGTATGCAGGCACCACAGCGGCCATGTCTTCAGGGCTCCTGTGGGACTGGGTGTGACCATGGGACTGGGTGGGACTTCCACTGGGCAATGTGTGGCTGTGAGATTGTGAGACCATAGGACTATGTGTGGCCCTGGGATCCTGTGTGACTTCCACAAGACAACATGTGACCATGGATTGTGTGTGACCATGGGTTGTGTGTGACCTCAGGGTTGTGTGCGACCACAGGACTATGTGTGACCCTGGGATCACCTATGACTTCCACAGGATGACATGTGACCATGGGCCATGTGTGTACATGAGCTGTGTGTAACCTCAGGGTTGTATGTGACGATAGGCTATGTGTGACCCTGGGATCCCATATGATGTCCACAGGAAATGTGACCATGGGCTGTGTGTGACCTCAGGGTTGTATGTGACAACAGGGCTGTGTGTGACCCGGGATCCTGTGTGACTTTCATCACACAGGATCCTCTGTGTGGGATCATGGGATGACATAGAACCATGGAGTTCCACAAGGCTATGTGTAACTCCAGGGCTCTGTGTGACCATGGAACCGGTATGATTTCCATGGGATAACATGTGATTATGGGGTCATGTGTGACTCTGGGGCTGTGTGTGATCATGTATTCCTATGTGACCCTGGGACACTGTGTGATTCATGGGATAACATGTGTCCATGGGATCATGTATGACCACAGGGCTGTTTGACCCAAGGGCTGTGTGTGACCTCCACGGGATGACCGTGGGGCTCTGTATGACCATGGTGCCGGGTGTGACCATGGGATCCTGTGTGACTTCCATGGGATGGCATGTGACATAGGTGTGTGACTCCAGGGCTGTGTGTGACCCCGGAACTGTGTGTGACCACAGGGTCCTGACTTTCAAGGGGATGATATGTGACCATGGGGTTATGCATGACCCCAGGGCTGTGTATGACTCTGGGACTCTGTGTGACTTCCATGGGGTCACATGTCATCCGTGGGGTTATGTGTGACTGTGAGGTTATGTGTGACCCTGGAGCTGTGTGTGACCCTGGGACTCTATGTGATCTGGGATCCTGTGTGACTTCCATGAGACATGTGCACACGGTGTTGTGTGTGACCTTGAAGTTGTGTGTGCCCATGGGGCTGTGTGTTACTATGGGGTCATGTGTGCCCATGGGCTGTGTGACCCTGAGACTCTATGTGACCCTGGGACCGTGTGTGACTTCCGTGGGACGACATGTGACTGCAGGGCCATGTGCACCTGGGGCACCTGTGTGCTTGCCTGTGTGTGACTGCCAGGGTTGTATGTAGACATAGGATCATGTGTGCCTGCGGGGCCATGTGCACCTGTGTGACCCACCTGCATGTGACCACCACCCCTTCCAGTTCCTGATCCACTGTGAGGGCACGCGGTTCACGGAGAAGAAGCACCAGATCAGCATGCAGGTGGCCCAGGCCAAGGGGCTGCCCGGCCTCAAGCATCACCTGCTGCCACGCACCAAGGGCTTCGCTGTCACCGTGAGGAGTTTGAGAAATGTAGGTAAGGAAGATGGCAGTGTCCCCGCGGCCCCTGGTGCAGTCCAGTCCTCAGGGCAGAGCTCATACCCCTCCTGCCTGTTTCCCCTGGCTGACATGTGGCCAATGACTCCGTGTGTTCCTAAATTCAGGCTCTGAGGGGGCTGGGAACCAGGACAAGGGGCATCTGCACCACTGGGTGGCCCTGGCACCAGGCTGTACCCTCCTTCTGGGGTATCCCGGCCAATGCCGCCCCCTGCTGCTTGGTAGTGGTGTCTGGATGGCGTAGGAGTGACCTAGTCGGCCTGGAGGCCCAAGCTGGCCCAGGTGGGTTTGGGGATGTTTATTGCTCACCTGTCAGTATCAGCTGCCTGCAGGTGGTGACCTCTGACCTCTGAGTTTGGACCCTAACTTACCATAAGAGGAAGAACACGGCAGCAGCCTGCCTCTGGCCTCTGTCCTGAGTGTCTGCCTCCTCTCAATCCTGTCTCAGTTTTGAGGCAGCCCCTGCACCCTCCCTGCAGCCACCCTCCTCCCATTGCCCATCCTTGGGCTCTCCCTGCAGCCACCCTCCTCCCACTGCCCATCCGTGGGCACACACAACTCCAAGGTGTGACTCCCCATGGAGTTGGATGGGCCTCGATACAGCTTCAGGCTCTGGGGCAACTCGGCAGCTGGACTGGCCTTACCCACACTCCCTCTAAGGGCATGGCACATGGGGAGAGGCTGACCCCATCCTGAGAGAGTGGTGGGCATGTCTGGGCCACACCTCTGAGTAGGGTTCCGGGCCCCACACCGCCTGCCTCTGAGGCCTTGGCCTTGAGTCTCATCTCCTGTTTCTGAGGCAGAGGGCAGGGCCCCAGCTCCCCCTGGGCCCGTGTCAGGGATTCAGGTGGGACAATGGGCAAGACCCCAGCCCACCTGGCCTCCTATCAGGACCTCTGAGGCCCAGGGCTGGCCAGTCTGTGCCTTTAACAAGTCTCCAAGGGGCCATCGCTCCCTCTTGGCCCCTGGCTTGCCTTTTGCTCCCACCCCTGCAGACCCAGACTCTGACATCAGCCCTGCTCCTGCCTGGGGCTTCAGGAGCAAGTCCCACCTCCCCTCCATGCCCAGGCCCTGCCTTTAGCCCTGCCCTTAGCGGTGTGACTAGCTTCTTCTCACCCATATTCCTTCCCTAACTGGCTGGAAGCTGTGAATTCCACACAGACAGTGTCGCCTGAGTCCCCTCAAGACCCTGGCACCCAGCGCCCACTTGCCTCTGTCCTCTGAGGGAGGGGGAGAAGGCAGATTCTGGAGCTCAGGCATGCAGAACTGGGGGCCCATCAGGCAGGGCAACCTCAGCTCCTCCTCTGCCCAGCTCCTGGAGGGTTGACAGCCCGGGGTGGGGATGTGGTTGGGGGGAGTGCTGGTGGTCTACACACCTCTTTCCCTCTGGCTTCAACCCAAGAGCCAGAAGCTGCCTGGTCCCTGTGGCCCCTGCCTCCATGCCTGACCCCCAGAACCAGGGCCAGGGATGCCCTGTTGCCTGTCCTCTTTTCCACCTCCTGGACATAGAATGCTGTACTCGGCAGTGGCCAGTAGAGTCAAGCCAGCGTGGGCTCCCATCAGGAGACCTTGCGCTGAATGGTGTGCCCTCCACTGACCAGCTGTGTGACCCTGGGCAAGTGACCTCACCTCTCTGATCCTAAATTTACATCTAGTTCTAGTTAGCCAATAACGAATAGGTTAGGGTTGCAAGGACGATTAAACGAGATGTGTGAGCAGCCCCATATCCCTCTGGCACTTGATCAACAGTAATCAAATCTTGGCTGCTGCCACCAAGAGCCAGCTCTGCTTCCCCTCAGGGGTGTCCAGCTTCTGGTCTGCCTTTCTCCAGCCTGATCCACCCCCTTTGGGGCAGGCTAGTGAGATGCGAGACTCTCTGCCTGAGTTTTGCCTCTGCTGCTCTTGGGGAAATTAACAATGTTCCTGCGAGTGATAAAAGGGAACTCAGGTCAGGGCAGGTGCGACATGCCAAGCACTGTGTGGGATGTCCTCCCAAGACCAGTGAGGAAGACTGCTTTTCCTTTTTGCTTTCAGTTCACAGATAAGGACACCGGGGCCCAGAGACGTTGAGGAGCTTATCCAAAGGGGTTGAGCCAGTGCGAGTTGGGCTTCACACCCAGGTGCCTGGCTGGCAGGGGGTTGACTGGGGTCCCCGGTGGGGGTGGTCAGGAGCCATTGCCACTCTTTCTGACGACCTTTGCCATTAGGCCCCCACTCTCCTATCCAAGATACTTCCCTCGGCATTTTGGAAAATAAGAATTGTGCAAACCACAGGTTTCTAGGCTGTTCTCTGGGGAACCTGTAGAGGCTCTCCTCATCTTGGTAACCAGCCTAAGCCTCTCCTGTTGTCTGCACGGGTCCCCATGGGAGAGCAGGTCAGAGGAAAGGAAGTTTGAAAGCCACTGAGCTACTCAAGGTCTATGGTCCCTTTTTACTGTGATGCCGCAGCCATAGCCTGCACAGCCTCAATGGCAGTCACCATGGGCACACACCTGTGTGTGTGTGTTTATAAAATGCCTAGAAAATGCAATCAACATCGAGGGTGTTTTCCAACAGCTTTCACCAGGCAGCTCTTCCTGGGGAGGGAAGGGAGGCCAGGCCGTCTTTCAACCCCAAGGAGGGGAGAGTGGCCTTGGGCATGCTGGGCGCTGTCACCAGGCTCTCCTGCAGGCTAGAAGGAGGAACACCCCCCACCCCTGCAAAGGCAGTGGCCCTGCAGACCCTGCAGCTCAGGCAGCCAGTAGAAGAAAACCGAAGGCAATTTTCTGATTTTTGAATCTTGGTTCCTTGCATTCCCAGCCAGAGTGTCTTTTTCTCCTTCCTGTCACTCTTCCACTCATTTCATTTCATTTTTTTGTAGAGACAGGGTCTTGCTCTGTCACCCAGGCTGGAATGCATGAGATCATGATGGCTTACTGCAACCTCCAACTCCTGGGCTCAATCAATCCTCCCACCTCAGTCTCCCAGTTAGCTGGGACTACAGGTGTGTGCCACCACACCTGGATAAGTTTTTAAGTGTATTAATTTTTTTTTTTTTTTTTTTTTTTTAGAAATGAGGTCTTGCTGTGTTGTCCAGGCTAGTCGCAAACTCCTGGCCTCAAACAATCCTTCTGTCTCAGCCTCCCAAAGTGCTGGAATTATAGAAATGAACCACCAAGCCCAGCCCTCTCATTCTTTTTATTAATACTTATTGCACATAAATCTCTCAGTGAGCATGACCAATGTGCTGGTCCTGTGGTAAATGCTTGACTGCTGTTATCTCGGCAACCATGGGACAGGGGCACTGTGACTTTTCTCCAGGGAAGACCTAGGCCCAAAGGGGCTGAACAGCCCATTTTGGAGAAGATTCCACTGCTGGGAAAAGGTGGCTGGCAGGTGCTAGGATTTGCCCCAGCTCAACTCCAGGACTCCTATTCTTTCTGTTATCCACTGCTACTGTAGGATGCTTCAGTAGGTGGCCATGTTTCTACTGTGCATTTCTCAGCTCACCCATCCTTCCATCCAGGAGGCATTTACTGAGCACGGGCCAGGTGCCAAGCTGCAACAGTGGATTTTGACATCATTTCCCACTCGCTGCCAGGCGAACTCACTTTTGGGTAGACCAGAGATGTGTGGTTTCTCAGTCATGTCTCAGTTGATGACAATTCAATAAGTCATGGGGTTTCCAGCCAATGTCTTACCCTGAGGTAATTTTGTAGCTACCTTGGTTTTCTAGGGGAAAACACGCTCTTAGAAGGGTTATGCTGCTGTGATGTAGGCACATCCTTAGATAACACGCTTTGGATTGGTTTATGTCACCTTCCATATTTGTCTGAATTTTGGGATTTGTTGACTGCAACAAGCTGTGTCCATTAGAAAGCTGCAAATCGTGCTTGTAGTCAGTCTTCATCCAACACTGCAGCATTGACTTCAAACTGGCCTGATCTCAGCAAGTACTCCGATTTCTATTCCTAAGCTATAGTGGGATTTGTGTGTGTGTGTGTGACAAAAGATGAAACATGTTCACGGTAGAACATCTGGACAAAATTTTTAAAAAATTCAAAGAAGAAAACTGTAATAACCACACCATTTCTAGATAACCAATTAGGATTTGATGATTGTCTCCAATGTGTGTATCTACAATACAGAATTGGGTTCACACGCTATATACTGCTTTGTATTTGTTTTATTTTTTATAGTTTCAGCTGTATATGACTGTACACTCAATTTCAGAAACAATGAAAACCCAACACTGCTGGGAGTCCTCAATGGAAAGAAATACCATGCAGATATGTACGTGAGGTGAGTGGACCCGCTACCTTTTCCAAAAGGAGAGTGCCAATGTCAGGGTCAATCACAATGACCTAGGGATCTTCCTCCAGGATATCTGGGGAACACGTTCTTGTTTGCCGGCAGTTTAACACTGGACATTGAGTTTATATTACAAACTCAAGAGACATGTCCTTGTGAATATGAATGTTGTGAACCATCTGGGGAAGCCTCCTTCCCTCCCAGCTACTCCTTGATCTTCTCTTAGCTTCTCTTGATCACAGAGCTCAGGTTGGATAAATGGATAACCACATTGTAGAATCATTTTGATTATAAAAGATTGAAGAGATGATCTTACAGGCCCTTTTCTTGGATGATGGGTCTGCTAGGTAGAAATACACAGATATGTATTTACCTAAGGAGGTTTAGACACAAATGAAAAACATTTTTGAAGTGTCTCATTTATGTGTTATATTCTGGACTACTATTTTAATTTGAGTCAGGATCTCACTGTGTTGCCCAGACTGGAGCGCAGTGGCAAGATCAGAGCTTACCACAGCCTTGACCTTTTGGCCTTATGTGATCCTTCTGCCTCATCCTCCCAGCTCTGACAGGCATACACCACCATGCACAACTAATTTTTTTATTTTTATTTTGTAAAGGCAAGGTCTTGCTATGTTTCCCAGGCTGGTTTTGAACTCCTGGGTTCAAGCAATCCTCCCACCTTGGCCTCCAAAGTGCTGGGATTATAGGGGTGAGCCATAATGCCAGGCCTATTAGTGATTTTATTGAAAACACTAGCAGAGGTATTAGATAAAATCAGTTCTCTTTGCCTGTGTACTGACTTCTAGAATGGGCCTAACACCTCCAGAATGTCACCAAGATTGAAGGAAAACAGGACTGGAAAAAGCTGCAGAGGGTAAAACACGATGCTGACATGTGCGTCACATCAGTGATCCACGCATTAACACCCAGTGTAACATGGGCTAAGGATGGTGTTGGTGTCCTGCACTGTAGGTCATCTTCCCTGAAAGTGAGCCAAGAGACTCTGAAATGTCCCCTGATGGAGAACTTGTCGGGTAGTGCAGAACCTTCTGGTAAACACCTTATAGATGCCAAATTACAGTGTAATACAAGGAAAATCCAGAGGCCCATTGTTCCCATCAGGTCATACAAAATGTTTGCATTCTCCTGGGGTGATGCTTTTGTGGAATGGCAGCCAGAGATTGACAGCTTCCTACCTGGTAACAACTGGCTCCCCATACAAATAGGAAATTGGCACCTTCACTATCGCTGTTTTCTTGTCTCACGGTATGGGCAACAGTTGGCCTCATTGGCCTCGTGACTCAGCTCTGCGGCATGTGAGGGCAAGAATCTCAACCCCTTCTGAAGGAGACCTTGTCTCAGGAATAGAGTGAGTTTTTATTCCAAGTTCTTTGACTCCTGGCGGGACGAAGCTCCACTCAGATCCGGCCGGGCTCAGGTTGTTTGGGGGAAACCCCATGCCATGTGCAAGATCATTTTACCTCTTAGGCAACTGCAGCTCTCCAAGGGAAACCAGGGCGTGCACGACTAAAAATGAGCCTGGCACATTCGGCCACCAGAGTCAGATAACTCATGGTATCAGGGGAGGAGCATCATTTATGCGATTCAACAAGCATCTTTTCTTGGAGTACCCATTACAAACGACTGAGGTGTTTTCTGTACCGACGCTACCTCAGTACAAGATGCTAACGCATCAAGGGCAATAATGTCAAGTCATTGAAAGAGCAAAATGGCTAAGTTCCCACTATCCAAAGAAAGAAATGCCATGCAGGCTTTAGGGATCTGGTTTCTAAACCAGAGTAGATCAGAACGAGCAAAGAAGTGCAGGATTCGTGGACATACAGAGTGTGGGAACAGAAAAGGGAGAGAATGTGTCCTGAGGAGCTTCCAGGGAAAGTTCTAGCACTACCTTGAAAGGGAAGCTATTCTCCTAATGGCAGAGGCCACTGTAACCTGCTGCAAGACGAGGCCCCACAGTTGACTCTTCACAGACTAGAGTGTGATGGAGAAGCTCTAAAGATGTATCTTCTTACTTAGATATTCCTGGGCTGCAGTAGGGAGTGGAATAACCCCCAGAAAATCATGCCAGGTATGGACTTGGACATGGAAAAATCAGGTGTAAAGGAACATTCCTCAAAATCGCAAGAGCCAGCAGCCTGAGGACAAACGGAAGCAGAGATGCGACCGGAAGTATGGCAGAGTGACTCTCCTGTGTTCAGAGTGGGCTGCTTGCCGATGGATGAGACTTAAGCCCACGCCAGCCCCAGCCCCTAGAGCCAGCCCTGAGTCTGAGCTCCCGCTGGTGCTGAGTGACTCATGGCCTCTGCCCCAGCCATGGAGCCTGGGGAAGATACTTGACTCCTCCCGCCCTGGGAGAACTTGTGTGCCCACCATTCACATCCCTGATTGTTAAAATCCTTGCAGAAAGTCTGCCTCAAAGGCTGCTCAAGAGGCCAGAGCAATCATGGAAGATGCTTTGCCATTACTAGTAAGTTGTTACCTGGCTGAGAAGAAATGACTGGCTTATGGTCTTCTATATATCAATTATGTGTTTCATGGGGAAACTGAGGCAGCATTGCTCTCTCTGGGAGAACATCAGGGCTTAGGAGTCTTTCCGTGAGGTGGGAGAGAAGATGGAATGAGGCGGGTGACCCCTTTTCTGACAGTGTCTCTGAGTCATTGAACTGAGCCTTGATCATTCCTTCATGGGTCATGACGGCATTTTGGCCTGTGCTTCCCCAATGTGGGGGTGGAATGTCCCCTCTTCCTATCCCTTGAACCACTTTCTTATCCTCCACGTCACTTAGGCTGCCTAGGTAAAAGCCAGGCCATGGCCAGCACTGTTGTTTGAGTGTGTGCGCTGCTTATCTGGGGGACTGCCTCCCGCTAGTTGCTGTCTGTCTCTGCAGGCGGATCCCCCTGGAAGACATTCCCGAGGATGATGACAGGTGCTCCGCCTGGCTCCACAAGCTCTACCAGGAGAAGGTCAGTGCCTGGGCACCAGGGCCCCTCTGCATCACTGCTGCAGGTGTGCTGGGATGGAGGGTGCTAGCAAGCCTTTGTCCATGATGTGAGGCCCCACTGAACCAGGTATCAGTGGTCCTAGAGCTGACGTTCTACTTGGCAGGAGGGAAAGGAACGTAGGAAAATATTTTCAAAAGGGGCTTCCCAAAACATAATGGAACTACTGTACAGGGGTTTTGGACCAAGAAAGAGTCGTGGCCCCAGCAGCTCTTGCTTCTAGCTTCTTGCAAAATGTTCTTGTGGGGTGGATGTTCTCCTTAGCAGAGGTCTTGATGGTTTCTGGATCAACACTGGCTGCCTGTCTGTCTGATCTCAAAATGTCTCCAGCACGAACAGGATGAAGCTCGCAGGGGTCCCTGGCCACAGTGCCCCCTGCCCCACTCCTGTCTGTGGTTCAGCTCCCCCGGCCCACCAGGGGCTCCCTACTTGCCCTGTCCTTACTCTGAGCAGGGCCTTTGCTTTCAAAGATTATTAGTGCTTTAACTACTTGATCTTATGGAAGGCTCAAAGTTTAGCTTCACTTGGTGAGGAGGGCGTTTTTACAGTCAGGTCTCACTGACTGGCAAAAAATTATTTCTGCTTCATCGTAACATATTGAATTCTTTGCTCAGAATCAAATCTATTCCAGGATTCTAATTTCCTTTCCCCCAAATCCAATAAATCAGGCTAGCTACTGACACTTGCTCTTTTCCTCTTCAGTCCTTAAAGGAAGAGAATCACCTAGAACTTCCCGGACGTCCACTATAGTTGAACGGGAGTTCTAACCCTAGCCTTGAGAAAGTGTTAGGATTCAGTCCACAAGACTTCCAAATCCAAATTTCAATCCAAAAGACGTGCCCTCAGGCTCAGTAGAGAAGCTTATAAGTATGCTCAGTGTTGGGAAACCAGATCCTGACACTGTCTTTTGGGCCTTTAAGCCATTCCTGTCCACAGCAGGCTACTGGAGCCTCTTTTCTAAACGGGCACAGCCATAGCTCTTTGTTCTCCTCTTACAAATGCACAAATAGCAAATGGCAAATGCAAGCTAGTTTACCTTGTCACCAGACATGGAACCCTGCCAATTCCCAGGCCCCAGCCTCGGTGACTCTGACTCAGTAGGTCTGATGTGGAACCTAGAAATGTGTGCTTCTAGCAAGTTGCTTTTAAAAGATGGTGATGGCTCCAATGCATGTGGTCTGAGGCATGAAGCTATTTTTTTTTTTGAGTCCGGGTCTCACTCTGCTGCCCAGGCTGCAGGACAGCGGCACCATTACATCTCATAGCAGCCTTGACTTTCTGGGATCAGGTGAGCCTTCTGTCTCAACCTCTTGAGTAGCTGGGACTACAGGCTCATGCCACCACACCTGACTAATTTTTGTAAATTATTTTTTGCAGCAATGAGGCCCCGTTGTGTTGCCCAGGCTGGTCTTAAACTCCTGGGCTCAAGCGATTCTCCCACCTCAGCCTCCCAAAATGCTGGGATTACAGACGTGAGCCCCTGTGCCTGGCCTCTGAAGTTTTTTTACTTTTCTTAAATCTTTTATCAATATTTTATTAAAGTCTTTTTCTCTGAAGTTTTTAACAACAAAATTCTAAGTTACCCAGTTTCTGTGCTGACAAAACACAATCTGAAGTGCATTCTTCCCTTCTGGTTTTATTCATGAGGCTGTATATTCTTTGTGCTGTTTTCTGGTTTAATCATTGAGGCAGCATTAAAAAATGCCACCTTTAGCAAAAATAAAACCATGCTAAGAAAAGACTTAAGAAATGAGTCCTTTCAGAGTCACACAGACAAATCCACAGACCCCCCCTCAACCCATCAAAGATTTTTCTTGATGGGCTTTTTTTTTCCCCCTGTGTTCAGGCAGAATTGTGGTCATTATGCAAATCAGGCTAAGAGGAGCCTCATGTTCAAGTCTCTCAGGGTGTTTTTCTCTGAACTGTGTTTCCCTTTAAATGGCAGTGTTCAACCTAGTAGCTTTCTCCAAATGATCATCTAGTCCAAAGCTCTTATACCACTGATGAGGAAATTAAGGTCCAGAAGATGATGTTCTTTCTCTACCCCCAGAGGGCCAGAATGACACCCAGTTCTCCATTTCTCCCAGCAGTCTGTGTCTATGGGCAGACCTGGGAGACTGGCTTTTTTCCCTTGTGGCACGATCATTGACCAGTGAGTGGAAGTGGTGCGTGATCCCTCCAAGCAGAACGGTGAATGGAGGCCATGGTGACACTGCTTCCATGGCAGCCCTGTTTCCCTAGGAGCCTAGGTCTGGGCCTTTCCATGCCAAAAAATCCTGGTGCCCCCCCAAGCTTGTCGAAGTGGGGTTTCATTTTCATCATTACCCCTTCAAAGGTGTGGTGTGTGTCAAAAAACAGTGCTGTTGACTTTGACCTTGGGCTTTCAGGGCAGCAGTTCTCAGACTCTTTGGTTTCATGAACAAGTAAAGTTTCTGCAAAATGGGAGGGGCTGGCCGGCAGCCACCAGGGGTGTGTCCGTGTTTTCTGCCCAGGCATGGGCATAAATAAAAAGAAATCCACCATCTGCCACTGTCATTTGAACACTCTCTAAAGTCTGAAGGACATCATCTCTGAGAACAGGGCCATCCTCTCAGCTGGACACATTTAACTTTATATGAGATACAGAATAAATATTTCTTGCATATCAGCATGTTGGACCCTTGCTGATTGAGGGTGTCAGCTTTAAGAAATTCATACCCAGCAGGGCTCGGTGGTTCAGCCTGTAATCCAGAGCCTTTGGGAGGCTGAGGTGAGTGGATTGCCTGAGCCTGAGGGTTCGAGACCCGCCTGGGCAGAGAGACCTCATCTCTACAATAAATAAAAAAATCAGCCGGGTGTGGTAGCCTGTAATTCCAGCTCCTTGGAAGGCTGAGGCGGAAGGATCGCCAGAGCCCAGCAGGTTGAGGCTGCGGTGGCCAGGAGCGGCCACTGTACTCCAATCTGGGCAACAGAGTGAGACTCCAACTCAAAAAAAAAGAAAAAAAGAAATTCATACCCTTGCGCAATCTCTTTGGGACAAAAGCAGTTTCCCAATGAACTTGATCTCAGGGCAATCCCAGAACCACCTTTCCCCAAGGAGGTCACAATAGCCACCCTGGTTTTTCAATTGTGTGGGGTGAGCAGATTCGTAGATTCTAACTTAAAGCACTTCTCTGAGTTGTAGTTTGGTGTTTGCTTAAGGGATTAGAAATCAGTCATTAATGGTGAAAATTAAGAAACAGGTGAAAGAAAGCGACATCCAGGCTGTCTTGGGGTGTGAGGTGACCGTGAAGGCCAAGGTTAGAGCAGCTCTATGAGGGGCGTGGGTGGGGGTGTTGGCACAGAGGCCAGTGGCTTTCAAGAACAAGAATGAGAGTTCTTCAAACTGGCGATAGTTCTTTACTTCCAGTGTCAGGACATCGCTCTTCAGAAGGGCAGCCATGAAGCTCAGCCTTGGCTCCCATTGCTAAATCCTTTGCAAATCAGGTCCTCTGGCCCCAAGTTCGGGCCACGTTCATGGGCGATATCAGGGGCTACAGCCAAGGTCCCCAGAGCACTCCCCATGGTGCCTGTCCCTGCCCAGACCTGTTGACCAAGAGGAGCCAGTTCTTTGTGTTCCCCCACTTCCTTCTCTTTCCTTTTTCTTCCTTTTCTCCGTCCACTCCTTCTCTCCCTCTTTTCTTCGCCAGGGCCCTAAGAGAAACTATATTGCTGAGCCAGTGTTTGGGAAAGCTGAGCCCAGTAAGCTGTGTGTAGATACGTGGTGTGCTGCCTCCCGGGCCCAGATTACAGGCTGTGCATTCAGGGAATTTGCTGTCTGTCAAGAGAACCTCGTGAGTCCTCTTGTGGGTTGATGGTTTCTTTCTGGAAACAAGCCAACCCTTGTCCTTTCAATGACTACATTTCCCAGTTCCAGCGTATTCCACATGATACCACACAGACACAGACAAAGAAGCATCATCAGCAAAGTCTTTCCCTTTATTACAAAGTGAGTCCCAGGACCAAGGTCGGCCATGAACATTCTGCTGCTGGAGTCTAGAGTCTGGCCCGATCCAGTCCTGCCATGTTCCACCCTGTGGCCAGCAGGAGTTCCTGGGTCAGTGTGTCGCCAACCGGAAGGGGGGGGGTGTGGGTGAGATTTAGTTTTACAGAAACCAGGGAAAAAGAAAACAGAGTGAATCAAAAGTTCTGAGTCGAGCTGACCTCTAGAAAAGGAGAGGCTTTTACTTCTTGCTAGAGGTGCAGATCAGAAATCTTGGTCCAGCAGATGTCTTTCCAGAAATAAGACAGAAAAAGCATTGCAATATCCCCTTTGCAATATTGCTATAGAAAAGCAATATGGAGACATTTGAGGAAAAGAATTTTAAAAACCACATTTGCCTATTTTTAAAATGGGTGAGTTTTATGGCATATAAATGACACCTCAAGAAAACTTTTTTTTTCTTTTGGTAGGGGGTCTCATTCTTTCATCCAGGCGGGAGTGCGGTGGCACGATCACAGTGCACCACAGCCTCAACCTACTGGGCTCAGGCGATCCTTCTGCTTCAGCCTCCCAAATAGCTGAGACTATAGGCATGCACCACCACACTCAGCTAATTTTTAAAATTTTCTTGTGGAGACAAGGTTTTGCTCTGTTGCCCAGGTTGTTCTCTAACTCCTGGGCTCAATCAATCTGCCTGCTTTAGCCTCCCAAAGTTCTGGGATTCCAGGCATGAGCCACCACACCCAGCTGAAAAGTGTGTTTGTTTTTTTTTTAGCAAGGCACAAAAATATCATCCCCTCCCCACTTACCTAGATATCCCAGTGACCCCAACCTGGCATAAGGGCAGGAAGGTGAAATGGTGCTTCCTTTCCTTGGCAGAGTTGGGTGCCCTTTCTCGGGGCCTTGCCTGTTCTCACTCTGTTCACTGTCATGGCTCACACCTCCGTGTGACATTTATGAACTCCATTATCTCTCATCTCCCTCATTGCTCAAGCATTTGGCGGGTGTGTCGACTGTTCTGCAGTGGCTCTACTGTCTGGCTTCCCCTGAGATCGCCATGATTTCCCTTGGCTGATGTCCAAGACCAGAGACACATGGGTGACGTTTTGGACCTGGCTGCAGAGGCTGCAGGACAGAGCTGAGGTGTGGGCTGGGGTCCTCTTTCCAAAATGGCCTAGTTAGTGTGTGGACTAATTTAATACTGACTCTGAGGTCAAGAAAGCATATAGTTCAGTATACCTTGGATGGGAAAGACAAAAAAGTGTGCTATACTCTGGAATTTTCTATCTCAAGTTGTTAAGGGAAAAACAAAATCAGCATGTAAGGTGTATGAAGGGGACCACCCCCCAAAATCCAGAAATATCTTTTGGAGGGCGGGCCCCTTTGCAGTACACTTGGAATTTGTTCCTCCAGATCAAATTGTTAACCAGAATTTTTATCTAGAAGTTTTGAGAAAGTTGCATCACGATTTGTGGAAGAAACATCCTGGGTCGTGGCAAACAGGTGACTGGTTCTTCCACCAGGACAACACAGCTACCCACACTGCACTGAGTGTCCAGCAGTTTTTGACCACAAACAAACAGCGTGATCCCTGTGCCCCACCCCCTCTATTCACTCGATCTCACCCCAAGAGACTTTTGTTTGTTTCTCCGGATAAAAAAGTCCTCAAAGGGAAATGTTCTTCCAATGTAAGATTAAATACACAATTTTTTATAAATAAATTCCAGGCTTTTTGGGTCCCCCTCATAAGTTTCAATTGTATGGAAGCTCGTTTTCCAGAAATCTCAATCTCTTAGAGAACTGGGACATCACCAAGCTAATTCTGGGGACACAAATGAAGGCCTGGCTATGGCCCACATGTGGGGTTTGTGCCATGTATACACCATCAGCCATGTGACATCTCTACACTAGCTGCGTTAGCTGCACATGATAAAAACTGGGCACCTCCCACAGGTGTCTGACTCTGGTTCGCTCCCTCAAAGATGTTCCTGCCCAGCTCCTCTCGTGGCCATGACCTGCCCTAGATGGGAAGGTCTCTGTCCCTTGCTCCCCTGGTCCGCAGCTCAGCTGGGCTCCAGCCACTATGACCATGGCTGTCGAGCCTTCAAGGCTCCTGCGTCTGCAGCATCTCTCCTCTTAGGAAATTGCCTGTCCCCATCCCTGTGAGTGTGAATTCCGTGATGCGAGGCCCACTGAAGAGAGATCACAGTATTGTGCAGAGCACCAAAGAGGAGCCATAAGCGGCTCCCTGGTTCTTGTCTCTGGACCACCAGAGTGCAAGGTAGGGTCTGGAGCTGGTGTCCTGCAAGCCCCTCAGGCACACACGCCCTGGGGCTTTGGATATGAATGAGTAGATGGTTTCTACAAATAATCTGCTCCCAGGAGGAAGGGCCTGAGTCGCTTACATTTTAGGAGGTTTCATGGCCACTTAGAAGAATCACTTGGTCCTGAGGCAGGAAGGAGGGTTGAGAGAGATGTCACCTGGGCCTGGACTCCCAGAGTCCTGAATTTGCTCTGTCACCTCTGTGAGCTACAGCCCCCAAACCCTTGACATCCATGGACAGCAGATAGGCGTTCCCCATGGGACTTGACAGGAGCCTGGCCATGGAGAGGCCAGTACAGCAGGATAGCGTGTATGGGGCTGAGCTGGGCCTCAAGCCCCCCGACTGCGGGGCAGGTGTCACATGACATCCACTGCAGGTGGCTTTGGCGGGTGTGCACTTCCTCCCCTCACCCACCTGCACGGAGGCATCACCACCTGTCCATTTGACAGATGGCGTCCGGGCTCAAGGACGTGGGCACCTCCCTGTGGCAGGCAAGTGCATGCCAGGCTGGCTTTCTCCTCACAACTGCACTCAGCACTTCAGCAGACCTGCCTCTCCTGGTGTCCCCATGGAAGAGGGACAGCCACATGTTAGAAGACATGGCAGCTGCCTACAAAGCCCTTTCTGGAAGGAGATGCAGACCCCAGTCCGCTGAGCCCAAAGTGGCCCTGAGTATCTCTGGGCTTCCCTCAGAAGTGGGGCCTCGGGTGGGACCTGCCACCCAGCCCGGTGTGCATCTGAGGGTCCCCTTCTCTGTCGCCAGGATGCATTTCAGGAGGAGTACTACAGGACGGGCACCTTCCCCGAGACACCCATGGTGCCTCCCCGGCGACCTTGGACCCTGCTCAACTGGCTGTTCTGGGCCTCGCTGCTGCTCTACCCTTTCTTCCAGTTCCTGGTCAGCATGGTCAGCAGTGGTTCCTCCTTGACACTGGCCAGCTTTGTGCTCGTCTTCTTTGTGGGTGAGTGGAGGGCTCCAGGCTGGCAGGGGAACACAGTGGTACCCACACTCCAGGGAGAGGTCGAGTCAGAGCCGGGATCGAGTCCGCACGGGTAGTTGTTCATGAGAGAGAAGGCACCGCCTGCAACTCATGGGGACCCTAGACTTCAGAAGGACCCCAGGCCTGGAAGAATCTGGAGGGCCCAGCCCTCCGCTTGCTCCCTGTGATGGGGGATGCTGCTGCCACTTCAGCCGCCCGAGCCTGGCTCTGCCTCCCTGTCCTCTGCAGCGAGCTCTGCCCACTGCAGTTATGTCCTCCTGAGGACAGCCACGTGGGACAGCCCAGTGAGAGCAGCAGGTGGCCCCTCCCCTTGGTGCAGGTGGGCAACACAGGACAGGCTTGGAGCTGAGCGTTTCCACTGAGCCACATCGCCTCTGTGGGACCAGTGTCCTCCCCACACTGTGGCTGTTGCTGCTAGGGAAGATTTAGGACAGACCAGGAGCCTGGATGACGCAAGAACCCGAGTAGCTTCGTAGTGCCCGTCAAGTCCCTGTGCATGCTGCCGTCCACCTATGAGGTGTGGCAGCCAGGTCCTTGCCTCTGCTTCTTGACCTACGAACGAGGGGTGCTGTGCTTCCTGGGGCCGAGGCCAACTCGGGAAGTGTCCCTGAGAGAGACCTGTCTCCCTGGGCTGGCAGCCTCTCTGAGGCCCTGGAGAGCCTGGGGAGACCACCCAGGTTTCCTGAGACTGAGGGGGCCATAGAGTCCAAGAATGCAGAGGCCCGGGTGCTTGTGTCACATGAGATTTTATCCTGTGGGATAGACGGATGCTGTGTGCTCCCTGTAAAAGACCCAGGCGATATAAAAGTGCACAAAACTAATGTGTGTCAGAAGCCAACTCCCCAGAGAGTACTGTTCTTGACAGTCTAGTGGACACGGATCTGGTCTCAAGCATACACACTTACCCCAGTTCTCACAACTGGAGTTTCTTTAACTTGCTTTTCTATCTAATAAGTCATGACTACCTAAACATATCACAGCACATAAACCCATCTCATTCTTTCAGATCAAGCCTGCCAATTCAGACTGTATGGTTGTAATATAGGCAAGCTGGACCCTGGTCCTAAAATAGATGCTAGCTTTTTTGTTTGTTTTGAGTTGGAGTCTCACTCCGTCACCCAGGCTGGAGTGCATTGGCATACTCATAGCCACCCCAGCGTCGACCTGCTGGGCTCTGGTGATCATTCCACGGTAGATGCGTGCTACCGTGACCGGCTAATTTTTTTTTTTTAATTTATTGTAGAGACGAGGTCTCACCAAGTTGCCCAGGCTGGTCTCAAACCCGCCTTGGCGTCCCAAAGTGCTGGGATTACAGGCTGAGCCACCGAGCCCGGCCTAGTTTTTTTTTTAATTAAAAAATATATTTTCGTGTTTACAGTTAAAGAGGATGGATAAGAAAATGTCCCATTCCCCAGAGGCAGCCTAGGGCACCCCAGGGCTGTGGCTGTGGCTGGCCAAGGGTTCCGGGGCAGCGACAGACAACAGGGTCCCCAGTGGGTCAGGGACAAGCTCAAGTGCTACTGAAGAAAAAAGGCAAACAAGGGCCAGTGCCCCTTGGAGAAACCTGCAGTTCCTTCAAGATGGCAGAGGGTGGGGACAGGGCCCACCCCAGGGATGCAGCAGATACCACAGGAGAGGCCTGAGCACTGTGCCTGAGGTGTGTGTGCTTGCTGGGGCGAGGAAGACTGGGGAGTTGACTCTGGAAGAGCAGCCAGGTCTCAATTTGGTTCTGAGACTGAGGAGAGACAGCCAAGTATTCCAAGGATGCAGAGGTCTGAGTGCCTATTTCAAATGGGTGATCTGTTACTCCTTGTGAGACAGATGCGATCTGCTCTCTGTAAAAGAGGCGGTATAAAAGCGCATGAAATTTCATGTGTGTCAGACAGAACCAGACACACAGGGCGTCTCCAGGAGCACCTGAGGAGCTACCTACTCTGTGCCTCCTCTGGCCAGAGCCTGCCTGTATTTCCCTCAAGTGACTCAGTTTTCATATCTGAATCCTCTTCCCAGTACCCTCAGCAGCACAGTCCATGTTTACTCACTTCCTTCTGCTCCATGAAGTCCTCGCTTCCACGGTTTGTGACAGCTCCGCAGTCATGCCCCATCTGTAGATGACCCATGGGGGACATGTGCCTCCTGCAGACTGGCTGGGCCCCCATCCCAGCTGCCCCCTCTATGTCCCACTAACAGTTGACAGACCATGACGAGAAGGCTTGCAACCCCATGTGCCTGACTTTGGAGGTTTCACTCACACGCCCATCTCGCCATTCTTTGTTTTGTTTTGTGAGTCAGGGTCTTACTCTGTTGCCTAGGCTGCAGTGCAGCTCACTGCAGTCTTTACCTCCTAGACTCAGGTGATCCTTCTGCCTCAGCCTCCCGATCAGCTGAGACTACAGGCACGCACCACCATGCCATGCCCAGTTATTACTATTTTTAAAATATTTTTTGTAGAGACAAGTTCTCGCTATGTTGCCCAGGCTGGTCTCCAACTCCTGGGCTCAAGCAATCCTCCCACCTCAACTTCCCACAGTGCTAGAATTACAGGCACAAGCCACTGCATCCTGTCCGTTTCTCCAATCTTAAACAATTGATTCTATATGGACTGCATGTCGGGTCCTGTGTCTGGTACTGGGCACGTCAAGTGCTGAAGATTTGGTCCCTGCATTCAAGGAGCTCACCAAGTCTGTTCTCTCCAGAGGCAGTGGTTGAAACAGCAGCTTCTGGGCATTAGGGCCAGTTTTTCAGCTTCCCAGTAGCTCCCGCAGGTGTGCTGCATACTCCCCGCGGTATGCAAGCCCTGTTGTCAGAGGACAGGCTGTGGCCAGGGCGGGACTTGGTTTACTGCTCCAAAAGCAATGCTGGAACTTGCTAGGCACTAAGCAGCTACTCAGGCTCTTGTGTTATCCAGGCTCCTGGTCTGTTCTAAAGCTTCACTGAAGGTGCCCTGGAAGCTTCTGCCCTGCATTCACAAAAGCACCCTCTTCTCCCGGGGGTTGGTAGGGGAAGCAGGGGTCTTTGCAGCCCCTGTGAATAGCTGTGCATGGCCTGCCATATCGATCACCTGCAGAGTCCAGGGAGGAAAGCCCCTCATGGGGCAGCCTTGCTCTGCTTGTTTTAATGTCACTGAGATGTCTGTACTCAAGAATGACTGTAGAGCTGGGTTTAGGGGGTGGTTCCCCAAATTTGCCAGCTGTGACTTGGAACCAGCTGCCTTCTGGTGGCTCTTGGCGGACCAGACGGCCCTGCAGCCTTGTTCCGGCGCCTAACTCTCTGATCTCCCCGCCTCCACAGCCTCCGTGGGAGTCCGATGGATGATCGGTGTGACAGAAATTGACAAGGGCTCTGCCTACGGCAACTTCGACAGCAAGCAGAAACAAAACGACTGACTCAGGGACTCTCACCATCCGAAGGGAACCTTGGGGAACTGGTGGCCTCTGCATACCCTCCTTAGCAGGACACAGGGACAGTGATGAGGCTGGGTGAGGTCCTGCGGGGCAGAGCGGAGGTCGTGGGCTCTCCAGCCAGGGAGTCTGGCCTCAAGGCCGGATGGGGAGGAGGATGCTCTCCAATCTTTTCCCCCATGTGTTTTGGTGGGTTTCGGTTTCCTTTCTTTTTCTGTGAGTGTGAGAATGGATGTGTGGCCGAGTGTGAGCCTTGTTCTGTGATCACTCAAAGGGTATTTCAGATTGCAGGGGAGGGCAGGGCTGAGGACTGGAGGGGTCAAGTTTCCCTTTCATCCTTTGGTGCTGAGTTTTCTGTAACCCTTGGTTGCCAGAGAGAGAGAGTGAAAAGCGCTTTAGGTGAGACGACTAAATTATGCCTCCAAAAAACACAATTAAAGTGCTTGTCTGGGTCATCTGTGGTGTATGTTTGCACAGACACTCCCTCTCCATCTCGCCCTCTGCCATGTACTTTGGTGTTCCGGGAGCTGTGAGCAGTCCAGAGGGGCGGTCACACTAGGCCAGCGCAGTGATGCACCCTACAAGTGACAAAGGTGCAGGCGTGGCAAGACCAGTCAAGTGCTTCCCTACGACACCGCCTGGGGTCCTCTATAAGGCGACCTTGGCTGTCTGTCTCACTGCCATGGGGTCTTCCAGCATTAGTCTTGAAGATGTGCCCCAACTCCCTGAAGAGATGCATCTCGAAGCTGAACATGAAACCACGAAAATAAGCCATGGCATGCTGAAGTAATTTGCAAGATGGGCTTGCATCTCCTGTACTCCTTGGCAGTGATGGCAGGAGCTGCATGCCCCTAGACAGACACAGGATTGCTTGATAAGACCTTGCCCTGCCCAGCACGTAGAGTTCATCTACAGCCATTCAAAGCCAGGCCCATCTCTGACCAGGGTCACACCGGAGATGACACTCATGCCTGAGAGTCCCAAGGCTTCTGTTTTTCATCAGGTTCCTGTCTGGTTCTGTTTTGCTCCTATCAAGAATTCTCTCCAGCACTGTCAGGGATCTTTGAGCAATGGCCAGTAGGAGGACTGTGTGGCCTGCTGGCAGTCAACAGAGGCCAGATGGGAAACAAAAGGCAGTCACGTCCTCAGAGAACAATGAAGTGCTAGCTACCATATTGCTTTAGGTTGAGACACCATGGCACTTGGAAGGGTGGGTGTTTGTGAGTGTGGGGACCCATGGGGAACATCTTTCTCCTTCTGGGAGGCACCGTGGGGCCTGGTTCAACACAAGCTTCACGTGGTGCTGTGGTGACATAAGAAGGGTGGACTGTGCGTACAAAAGCTGGCCAAACATCACATCAAAGGATATTCTGAAGGCCAGGTGTGGTGGTTCACACCTGTAATCCCAGCACTTTGGGAGGCAGAGGGGAGAGGAATGCCTGAGCCCAGAGGTTCGAGACCAACCTGGGCAACTTGGTGAGACTTCATCTCTACAATAGTCAAAAATTAGTGGGGTGTGGTGGCACGCATCTGTAGTTCCAGCTACTTGGAAGGCTGAGGCAGAAGGATCGCCTGAACCCAGCAGGTTGAGGCTGCAGTGGCCATGATCGTGCCACTGCACTGTAGCCTGGATGACAAAGTGAGACTCCAACTCAAAAAAAAAAAAAAGATATTCTGTGCAGGGTCAGGTTTTTAGATGTTTGCTCATTTAGTCACTAGCTGTTTACCAGGCACAACTAAACTGGATAAGCCAAGGGTTTACAAGAACTCTAGAGAAGTTCTCTTTGCTTATGGGGCAGGAATGTCTCAATACAAATGAATTGGAATTGCAGACATAACACAGGGATGAAATCCAGGCTGACTTGGGGAAGGGAGTGCCGGAGCACCAGCACGTCTGCCCACTCTGCACAGGTCTGAAGCGCAGGGGGTGACCTAAAAAAGGGGCCTTGGGGAAGTGCACGTTTGTGCAGGTGTGGAGTCCTGTGTGTCCGCGGGTGACCCCTGGTGGGCTTGCACTTCTGGCAGTGTGCATGGTGCTGTAAGGTCTCGGCAAGCTATTTTTCCTCTCAGATCCCCAGTGGCCCCATCTGCAAAATGGGGGTGAGGATACCTACCTGTTGGGTGTGTCAAGGGTAAAAAGAGGTACACTGTAAGAATCCTAAAACACTAATCAAACAAGATGAAAGGTGCCTCTATGTTGCTGTTTCTCAGAAAAACTCAAATGACCCGGTACTAAACACGTATCACTTTTCTCACTGTCATTCTCCCATTCAATATAGGGGTCATTTCACTTCTAAAGTCATACATCCCCCTTCCTTCTACCTGGGACTTGTAGGGCTCAAAGGCATTGTCTTCTTCTGAATTGACTCTGGGACCCCACATAAAGCATGACAGGCAAACAGAGAGTGGCAGCTTACCGCCTAAGAGGTGCCATGCTGCAGCACAAGCACGAGAGCTTTCCATGGGAAGGGCAAGGCAGGCGCTGGTTTTGGAATTGAGCTAGATCACTGGAGAGAGTGCAGTGTGCTGAGAAGCACTCTGGACCTCGTCCTCATCAGTCATCAGTCATTGGCCCTTCCGTGAAGGGTGTCGTTATATGGTCTGGGGATCTGGTTTCCTTCCTCCCTGCTCCCTCAATAACATAGGCCAGCACCGCTTCTCCTAGAAGCAATCTCATCGCTGCTCCCAAATCTCTTCACCCACGTTCAGGTCACACAGAGGCCGTGAACTCTTCAGCAAAGAACAGTTTTGGCTCCCAAGGTAATTTTTTTTTTTTATGAATTAAAAATTCTCAGAGTTGAAGCCATCTCTTTGTCCCTTAAATAGAGCACCATGGACTAAGAGCTACACTTCCTGTCCGTCTTTCTCACATCTCCATCTCGTTCTAGCTCTAGCTCTAGTTCATCACTCTGCTGAGAGCCTGTTCCATAATTCAGTGTGGCAGAGAAAATTACAAACTTTTACTGAATCTGGAGAGCGGGGCAGGGTCATCTCTGGATATCGAAGACTCTACCCTAGACTTCTGCAGTGAGCAGGCAGGGATATGAATGAATTTCTTCTAAGAAGCCAAGCCCACAGGGACTCTTGGTGAAAAGATACCAACCATCTGTAAGATGCAGTTTGAAGTTTGGGGAATGTAGACTTATTCTGTGACTATGAAGTTCACATGATTAACCACAGGGGAAGAACTATGGCACTTTGTGAGTCTATCACCTTGTTTGTCACCTTTTATAGCAAGAAAACAAACTTTTTCCTGTGACCACTCTACTCCTAGAATATCTCGACTGCCATATTCTCCAAATGCATGCAAAACCTTGTAAAAGTAGCTGATGATGTTAAAAATTTTTAAATATTAGTGTTTTCCTAATATACGCATAAAGTGGGAGGGGAGAGACAGTGTTTTAAATGTCAAGTCCAATTAATTAACTATCCAGCCAAAGCTTAAACTTAGAAATAGTTGATGTGGCAGGCACAAAGGGGCCCCAGTGAAGTGGCTTTCTCTAAAGCACTGGTCTCTGACTTTTCACACATTTACTATGTTAAAAAGAGACAGAAACAAATACCTTGGGTTTAGCAGGTCTCCTGAGGGCTGCAAGCTAGATGGAGGAATATTCAGTGCCACTAGGACCTGCATTTGTGTGTAGAAGAACATGAAAGGAAGGTTGTGCCTGTGTCTGACCCCCAGGCCATTGCTTCCTTCCCCCGGAGCTTCTTGAAAACCAAACGAGAATCTCCAGGTACTGAGCAGTTGTGTGGTCCTAGGTGTGTCTGCCCTCTGTTACAACTGTGTTTGACAATACCTTAACTACAGTCATTCTGAGCACTGTTGATGGAGCATGAGATACATCCAGTGTGAAGGCTACATGCTTATTGATATGCTAGTGCTGTCATACTTTCCTACTCCTCTGGTCCTAGTCATGGCTTGGTGTGAGGAGGCAGGAGACATCGAGCTGTGCTGCCAGGTGCTTCCCACCGAGGCCATCCAGCTGAGAGCATCTCTGGGCTGGTGCCCTAGGCTGATGAGTGCAAACACTGCACCCGCGGGCACCCAGAAGTGACCAGCATCTTGCAGGCCGTGGAGGGCCTTCAGGCCATCTGCTTAAAATCCCATCTCTGGATTTCCCCGTCTATATTGCAGATCTGGTGGCTGTTTGGATGAATGAGAAACTGGCTATATTTCAGTAGGGTGTTTTCCTCAAAGTATCTGCAGAGATTTAACTGAAAAGAATTTTTTGAACACATTTTCTCAGGCATCAGAGGAGCTCCTGAACCAGTTCAGTGTTGGACACACCAGCCATCCAGTAGTGACATCCTGTCTCTACAATTCACGTCCTCAGCATATCACACCCCGGCACGCAGGGCCTGGGTTTTGAATATTTCCAGAGTTTCAAGTAAATTTAAACAAGAAACAAATACTCCAGGTGTTTCAAGGCTTTGGCCTGGCATAATGGCTTCTGAAAGCACCAGACTTGCAACTTGGGAAAAGGTCAAGGACGTGCTGCTATCTCTCCTGGCCCAGGACATTCAATGCCATTCAGAGCCTTTGTCACCAAGTGGCACAGTATCTGATGATAATATTCAACTGTTTGGAATGACCACTGTTTTGCTCAAAAACAGTATGATATGAGAAATTTAACATAAATAGTGTCTCCTCCTCAGAGTGACATCTGTCTGAGGGCAGGGGCAGGCACTTGGGCTCACTGCCCTGTCCCCTCCAGCAGGGCCTCATCACAGTGCCCCTCAGCAAATGCTGAATGCATGAAGGGGACACCTATTTAGAAGCCCGAACAACTGAATTTCAATTGCCTTTTGATTCCCTTTCCTGACGTAGAAAAGAATCTTTCTGAAGAACAACTAGGCCAGAATAAGCTTGAGTAATTACTTATAATTATTATATAGTCAATACTTTGAGATTTCCGACTTACCTGTGAAAAAGCCAAGTTGTTTGCCAGGAGAGAACATGCGGTTCCAGCCAGACCTCCCACAGCTCTGCAGGCCTGTCCTAAATGAATACTACAGTTGCGAATGGATGAAAAAGCAATTATTAAACACCTACTGAGATCTTCTCAACAGCTGGAAATCTCTCTGAGGGCTGCGTTAGTAAAGATTTTCGTTAAGACTCATACAATTTTACATCTACTATTTTTTTCATACAAAGGCACAGTCTTGTTTTACATGTTGAAGTGACAAGGTATTTTTGACATTTTTGGCACCTATGTTCTGCTGAATTTTAAGGAGGTGACTGGTATGAATACAAAATTAAGATTGCCAAAATAAATTATACAAATGGCACTTTTCTTTCTTACATTCCACAGTGCTAGTTTTAGCCAGATCTTTGCCAGACATTCTAGGAAATTCAGAAACATCATCAATGATGCTCCAGAACGCCATCTATCTATATCTCTGCGAAAGAGGAGGAAGGAAAGATGGTGAACAGCAAAGGGTGGGGCAAACT